CCAATTGTATCAGCCTACCGATGTGTTAATTGACAAAGAGACTGATAGTTTCATTATTTGTGATCGAGGCAATCGACGAATTGTACGATGGTCTCGTCGTAATATCACTGCTCAAGGTGAAATCTTCATCAGCAACATCTATTGTTATGGATTGGCCATGGATAATAAGAGATATCTGTATGTTACTGAGCACAACAAGCACGGAGTAAGTCGATATGAACCAGATAGAAACAAAAATGGAACTTTCGCGGCTGGCGGGAACGGCGAAGGTCCGCGCTCTAATCAACTCTCCTCACCGACATTCGTCGCTGTCGATCAACAACAGATTGTCTACGTGTCAGATTACGGCAATGATCGCATAATGAAATGGCATAAATGGGCAGTAACTGGTATTTCTGTTGCCGTGTATCAATACCAAGACTTTTTTTTATCACCATTGTCGTATCCTTACGGGCTGTTTGTTGATATCTCGGGTACCCTCTATGCGGCAGATTGCGGACACCATCGAGTGATGCGTTGGACTCCAAAAGCAAAAAACGGCACTGTTATTGCGGGTGGAAATGGTTCGGGAGCAGAAGCAAATCAGTTCAACCATGCCATGGCAATCTTTATGTTGTCGATACAGAAAATAATCGTATTCAACGATTTACTCTCAAATAGACTGGAAAAGAAAGGGAGAGTTATTTTCTTTTCTTTTGCACTTTTGCTTCTTCTCAAATAAATCGCATTAAATGAAAATAAAAGTAAATGATTGCCCTTATTCATGGGTGCTGCCAATAAGTATCAATGTTGCAACTGCTCACTTTTTCTCCAGACTGACATCGGCTCCAGTTTTAATCCATAAGACCGCATAAAACCGGATGGAGACAGACATAAGTCATTATTCATTTTAGTCGTCTTTTAAGAGTCACATCAACTTCTCGATGAATGATACTTACCTTCGAATCACTAGAGATATTACTTAAAGATTTAATGCTACTATGTATGTGTTTCAATGAAGCATGATTATAAAATAAGTGTTTAAGTTGAGCAGCAAACAGAGGACTTAAAAGTCCTGTGGAGACTCCCAAAACTTCACAACTGAGTCTTAGTAGTTTTCTCGTTAGTCAAAACATATGATGAGACATTTGCTCCCATCTCCTCTACTTACTTGCAAAGTTCCTACAAATATGGCAATGCTCCTTTAACCGAATGATAGAGATTTTGACGTCGGAATGGACTCAACAGATTTTTCAATATGCTGACATTTGATTTGGTAATGATGTGGATTCTAGATGATGATATTTCCGACTGCATTCCCAAATATTTGAATTCTCTAGCGATTTTAATGAGAACCCGTTTTCACCATCTGTTTCTATAGATTTTCTCCAGTTTAGTCGCTATCAATGGACATTATGTTTCAGAGGACTACAAATTCTTTATTAGCTTTCCATATTGATGAAATATTCATCAGATGTTGAAATTTGAATTTGACTGAAAATGTACTCTGCGTCTCGCAATAGATTTACTTTGTGATCTCTACTATTTCCGCGAAAGACATTGTAAAAACACTACAAAATAAAATAAACTATGTAACAAATGACAATGGCAAGCAGTAATTACATTTTCTTTCCATGATGTTGCAATTTGATATCGAAGTGTTTTGATAAAATGTACAAGGGAATTTGCAATGAATATTCGTCAAGTTCAAATAATCTAATTCATGTTCCTTCATAGCGATAGTTGAAAGTGCCATATAATTAGTTTGGTATGTGAAAATAAATACCTCTAGCGTCAATATTTTGAAAAGAACTATTTAAAAAATCGATAAAAATCTAGATCGGTCGCTCTAGAGAAGGTTGCGTCTACTAGCAGATAAGAAATCATACACCAAACCGATCGTTTACCGTTACCGATAGCGACAGTGGACCATAAGTTTTTCAAAATCAGCTCTAGAGAAACTCAATAGGTTTTGACGTTTTAACTTTTAAAAACTTGCATTTCGAGCAAAAACTCCAGATATTTTTATTAGAAGCACTTTTTTCACATGAAATAGCTGGTTTTCTAGCACTTGGCTATTAAAAATGCCTCTCTTAATGCCACAAAAATTTTTTGAAAAGCCTTCAATTTTGTAGATAAAATCGAGCAAAAAACTACCCCGCAACAGAGAGCAACCTTTCGAAGAGCGATGTCACTTTTGGTAAAAGAAGACTGGCATTTTTTATTTAGAAGGAGAAGAGGGATGGGGAAGCAGCTTTACAGAATGTTGATTATGAAGAAGGCGGTGAATATTTAATGAGCATGAATATTTGAATAAGCTTATTATCTCAATTGTTAACGTGCCGATTGGCTTCACTATTAAACGTCGAACTGGTTTGAGCATACCTTTGATTGAATTTACCATTCTGGCCTGTCTTCCACTATCTTAGAAAGAAAAGACGTGAAAATCAGAGAAATTTCTTCCATTTTTCATTAATGAACTATATAGATGGATAGACGACGGTAAACTTTTAATCTAGGATAGGCTCAAATTGAGCTTAGCGAAGTCTTTACTTGCCCAATCTAGGGTAGACGCGTGTCTACTCAGGCTTAGCAGTCTCCCTGATTCAATATTCAAGCTTTGATTTGTCCTAGTGTGAACCTACCTAAGCGTTGACATGTCTTGGTTTGAGCATAATCAAGTCTTTATTTATTTTACCTCAGGTAGACTGGAATCTATCCAAGCCTAAAAGTTCTGCACCTATGTAGGCATAATGTTGATTTATTTAGCCAACATCGGTATATGCAAAGGTTAATGCTCTTCGAATATATAAAATTCAAACATTATCTTAAACACAAGTTTAAAACAGCAATTATGACTGTCTTGTGTCAAAGACAAAGAATTTAATGCCGATATAGATTCTGATAAAGTCCGATCAATATCTCACTCGACAAGGATTGATGCTTGTAATCATGCATCATCTGTTAGAGGACCATGAAAACTAAACAATAATAGAAAATTTATACATTGAATCGAGCATACCCGTGCCTTCATCCGCCCTATTTTGAGCCTACTCAAGCCTAGCCAAGCTTTATAGCTCCGCCACCTATGTTAACGAATGTTATCTAATCAAATGAAGTGACCAGAGCTAGAAAAAGTACAAGTACAGGAAGTGAAAGTATTTTACTTGCACCTTAAAAAATGTACTTATATTTTTATTTGCCTTTGCAAAAGTATACTTGCTGCATGTACATGTACTTCGGAAGATGTACTCGTACTTTTATTTTTTATTTAAAACAGTACTTGGCATTTTTATCTGCTGTGTAAATATAATATGTCGTCTATAATTTCAGCTAGCTCTGATAAAATTTTCAAGACCATCATGACATCTTCTGATCAAAGCCGAATGAAAAATAGTATCTGTTAACACTGTTTGTTTCTTCTTAAAGATGTTGATGGCGTCACTGTGAAGCACTGATAGAAAACGTATGTTTTCATTGTTCGCATTTCTTCACAATGATGAATGATATCCATAAAAGATAATCTGTATTCAGCTTGCTATCATAGATAAAAGAAATCGGTGTCATTGAGAAGAATTCATGTGAATGCAGATCAATGATTTTTTAGCATGAAGAGATTATTACTTCGCTCTATTTCTGGGGTGTGGATGCATGAATATGCGGCTTTTTATGCTCTTTTGACCGACACCCACCCATTCACCCACACCCTTAAATGTTTAACAGTGCTTGATCAATGTTATATGTAGTGCGTTTAAGTTAAAGCATATTACTGCAAAGGTCTAGAATAAATCTCGATGATATATAAATAGAACTCATTTACGTATATACAAACAATCAATACACTTTTAATTTCATTTCCTTTCATTTATTTAGAATACCAGCATTTTTCAAGTGCATGATGGAGACGTCAACGAAGATTTTGTATTTTAACAATATTGCCACAGTATTATTTCTATTTTAAATTTATTTAAAGCTATCTATAGCTAAAATAGTAAATGTTGGATAGTTTCTACTAGCATACTGCTAATTATATCGAGTAAATAGGGAAAAATAATAAAATCGGGTATAAGAAAAAAGTGTACCCTTTGGTACAGTTTTGTATTGAAATGGAATGCATATGCAATCCTACTATGGTGACTAAATATGGTTCTATTTTGAATTGGTCACTTTTTATTTCATGCGCGTTGACTTCCCTCTCATTGATCGAATGACTTCTTTCGAATTTATGCCTTATAGAGCGCCAAGAGATAATGGCGATTAATCTTAATATAACAAAGTCGATTAATATTTTAGCACTACAATTTTCACTATACAGCAGAAGTTTTCAAAATAATCATACGATCGAAACACTTGCCTATCATTGCCTTTTCACACCATCATTTTTATACTCTTATCGTTTTAGTCAAATTTCAAAAAAGATTTTATAAGAAGACATATGATTAATTATGCGAGGACTCATGAAAGACATTTCATACACAGAATAGAGACAATTGACAAAAAACACATTTAGTTTATGTCAGCAATACGTCAAGATATTGAAATGCATCGATAATAAACAGACCCCTTTGATGGTATTTTCTTAGGATCTTTGTACACATAGCTAGTGTCATCGGCAATAAAATCGTGCTTGACATCGAAACGAGATTGAATAAAATCAATGGCATTTCCTTTCGTTGGAACATATTTGTACGAAGAGTAACGAAGCAGAATATAAGTTTCTCCAATGGTCAAGTTATAGACTGTAACAGTGCCATCCATTTCTATGGGATCTTCATGCAATGTTGGATCAGGTTCACGACAGGATGAGACTGCTAGACGGACAGGAAGAGTTACTCGATCTTCATCAATAATTCCGGTTATCGCAATTCCATAATCAACCTAGAACGTTCAGAAATGATTCAGTCTGAAATGCAAGTGAAAAGAAATGAATTCAATCTTATCCTGATCTAGGTATCTCATGATACTCTCGAAATATGCATTGTTTTCTTTGCCGTACAAAAATGAACGTTTATGAGAAATCTCTATGCCTCATTATTAAAATCAATCATATTAACCTCTAATGGTAGACATCCATTTTTAGCATTCGTCTTTCTAGACATTGCTGTTCTGGTTGATCCGATCTCATCTTCATACAAAGCTTCTTCAAATGGCTTTTTGCTATAGAGATCATAATATATTAATGTATCATCTGGATCATATTCGTCCGCATTTTTGTATCGAATACCAATCGCCGGCACAATATGATCATAATCTTCGTAGTCCATACCTGGAAGAAAGATGCCGAACATGACGGGATATCTTCGCAGAATGGATCGTTTCATCCATTTACAAAAGTATCGAAATTGTGGTTGAGGAGAATTTATCCAATTCCATTCATCGTACATAAAATGAAAGCGGGTAAGAGTGCGAATTGGATCTCGACGATCATCAGGTGATAGTGGTTGTAGAAGATATTCACCTTTATTGATGTCACGAATGAGACCCTGTGAGAGCCAAGCACCATAATAAAGACCTATATATTGTACGTAAACAATAGATTATTTAGATTTTACATTTTTCGGATAAAAAGAGCAATTTCCTACAAACTCGAAGACTTTTACAAGTAATAAATCGAAGAGATAGTGAAAGAAGCCGTTTTTCATGATTCAAAGATTTCTATTCAATCTTTGATCTCGAAACCCGATCGATCTTAGTGATTTATTCTCTGTGCAATTGTATAATTCTTGAGAATGAACGATAACAATCTCATTTTTTGATCTAGAAAATATATTCTATACAGACTCTGAAGACTCCGTGTATTTTTAGCTCTCTTCGTTTATCAGTGGTTAGAAGGGATTGAGAAACTAGACCATGTAGGTATGTAACAGATTGGTAACTTACCGATAGATTGAAGGCAGGTTTCGCCGCAATATCCATTCCCATGATCCCATAGGAATCGAGGTGCGATATCAAGTAAAAAAGTCTGTTTAGGAAGTGATTTCATTTTCTCTGTATGGGAATTTATTTCGCTCATGACCAGTTACACTTGAACTTGACCAAAAGATCAATTACTAAAGTAGAAAATCTTCTTTAGTTATAGAAAATATTACTGTTGGAAATTCAATCTAAAGCCTAGGAATACACTGATGAACGCTTCAATAATGGTTATAGCCTCCACAAATCTCTTTTCGCTTTCGAAAAATAAGATAAATTTCATGTAATAATCTCTATCAAGTCCATATTACTGTCTATTTAATTTCTATATGAATTAAACAAGAAAATGGTATTCGATGCCAAACGAAACTGACAACCTGATGGGTATTGAATATGGCACAAATCCATTGACTTTTAGATCTTCATCAATAAAAAGCAGGATCTATAGACTAGGAAAGGGAATGTAGTTCTGAAGACTTTCTAGACGTCCTGGCTTAAAAGCAAAATAATTCACATCGAAAGACTTTCCTGTAGGCGGGATATTTCTTTTACGTTTATGAATATCATCTCTTCTCGATAATGGATAGGATATATGCTTCTTTGAGTAGCTTACCTAAACTTTCTGGATTTACAAAACGTAGTTTTTTCTTATCAAAATGTCGTGTGAAACGAAGAAGTGCATGCATTATTTACCTGCAATTGTCAAATTGCCAGTAAACTACGATAATCCGAATAGATGACTGAAAATGCAAAGAATATGAAAAAAACCTAAGCGTCAACATTTCGATGAATTATGAAATAACGTGTCATTGATGTGGACTTTTCTTTTCAATGTGTGTTTCTCCTACTTATCAGAGAGCAAAGCAAACGAATGCTTTTCAGATGTCGTATGCGTGCTCTACGCATACTGAAAGAGTCAACACAATGACATATTCATATGGAAATTTTTACCATAAAATGACGACAGAGAGTGAGGGAGAAAATTGAAGCAAAACATATGATCAGATTGAGAATTCTTCTGACAAAGTCATACTGCAATTTTTATAACAATGATGTAAAACAAAGCTTCGTGTGGGATAAGGGTGTGGGTATGTTTAAATGACGAGAAATCAATATCCACACCCACACCCTACTGTGATTCATTACTCATCATTTATTTTCAATGGATCTTTACCGAGATTCTCCTGATCTGTGATTTTTCTTTTAGCTTATCGCATTTAATAAATAGTTATCGGCAAAATAGAAAAAAAATTAAAGACAATTGTACACAAAATTGATTTATTCAAAAGTAAGACAATGACAATGTCTCGTTCGAAAATAAAGCTATGCATATTCATAAAAAATAATCACTAAAACGGCAAAAATATGTAGATTAGTCTATTATTTTTTTATTATATTCATATAGAGTAAAAATTAATCGATGCAAACAAATATCTTAGAAGAAAAATAAGTTCTGCACAATATGTTTTATATAGTCCTTATTAATAAATTTGTAATCAAGGAGAAAAACCATTAATTCTAAAAGGGCTTACAACTTTTGAATGATTTTTGTAGAAAGGTAAGAATTTAGAATGATTAATATGCTTGTAAGAAAATATAAAATAAAGTGGAAGGATACACCAATCATGATTATTACTCTTCTGAAGCTAATTTCATTTGTTGTCAAACAATCTTTTGAACGATGTATGGTATAAATATTCATAACCTAGTTTTTTTTTGTCTCTGCTCTTATCGTGAAATAACAATAAAGTTATTTAGTCTATATTTATTGATGTTAATGGCAATGTTTTATTTATCATAAAAATATCTGATATTATAATATTTTTTCGATGAAAAAATATGTTGTAATAATTAGAACCATGTTATCAACACTATTTTATTAGTTCAATTCTCTAAACACAGTGAAGAAATTTTTAGAAGATGTTTTAGTAAAACAAAGAATTTAGTAATAGATTTTTGTTCTATATTTGTTGTTTCAGCATAAAATTAATAAATGAGAAGTTTTTCAATATTCCTTAATGTAACATACGTTATGAAGACGATATACTTCGAGATAGTAGTGAAAACTGACTGTTCACTTTCTTGTTTTCTAAAATTATGAATGGCGAAATTCCCAACTGACTTTTTTCTTTGATAAAATGACGACTTACTTAAGTGTGAGTTCATATTCAATGTTTATGTTTGCAAGACCGACTATAAACTGTTTAAAACTATTTGTTTCTTATGATTTCATTACTTGCTGCATTAAAAGAAAACAAAGTCTTAGTATGCATAAAAAAATCACTTGGTTTCGTAGACACAAGTAGCTCTAACTGAAGTGACTATTGGCAATAAGTACTATACGAACATTTAGAAACAAGGATGTTGAAATTTTCGATATGATGATCGATATAATCGTAAAATAATACTGTTCAATTTGCCATGATTGAAACAAATGAAGCAAGGGTGTGGTGTGGGTGCAGTTCTCCTGTTGATCAACATCCACATCCCTCACAGTAAGATTTCCAATGCAAACTATTGTAATCAATGTTTAGTGCATATTATTTTAATGACTCAAAAACTATTCTTTTGGATATCATAAATAAATTTTCTTACATTTTCCAGTTTTCTGTATAACGTAGTATCAATTTTTATTTCAAATTTTGAAATAAATATTTAATCAATAAAGTTTCGCGTAACGTAGATAAATCGTTTACTTTGAAAAGAAATGTACAGCAAAAAAAAAGCCTTGTTAAAGTTGATAAAAAATAGAAATTTAATCAAACAAACTATAGCAACCAAATTGATTAAGAGCAGATTATTAATTAACTAAAGCAACAAAAAACTTCGTTGATCAATCAATATGAATATTCCACCGAACCTATCCATAAGTCACTCGACTTTTCCATACAAAGTAATGTCGAGAATGAACAATTGTCTCGATTAATCAATTCTAATCGAAATGATCGAAAGAGCAATTTTCATGCCAATATAGAAAAAATTCCTTACGTAAAAAAGTATCATGCTAGTATATGTATCTCATCAGTCTTTACTTGTGATTCCAATGATTATGGAACTATGAAATTAATGAGCATCATGTATCTGAAGTAAAATTCCTGAGTGGTATTAAACAGCGTCTATATCCATGTGTGATATTAGCACGAGTTTGCATGTTTGACAAAATATCATGCTTGCATTTGAACAAGTTGGTTTTCTTTCGATCAAATGAGTTTTGTCCATTGAATATGAAACCATTCATGCTGGTTAACTTCATGGCTCACCGAATTTACTGTTTATTGGAAAAATCTATTGACATAGATATTGAAATTTTTTCGCATACCGAGTGACATTTTGTTGCTTATATAAAGGATGACGGCAGTTCAAATATGGAGAACCTAGTGACTAAGAGTAATCATGTTGAAGATTCAGATATTCGTTGCAAATCAACACTAAGGAAAGCGAGCAAAATTATACATCATATTGAATTATTCTTATTAATCAAACATTTAATGCAGACTATGTGATGTGATGTAGATATCTCTTGCAATAGAAATATATACACAGTCGTTAAACATATTCGTAAACTACTATTGAGTAGAAAATATGATTAAATGAAAAGTAATTGATAGAATGGTTAGGGGTGTCAGAGTTCCTCTTTCCCTTGGGTTTTGTTCCCAAGAAACGGAAACCCACTTGAAAATTCGTTTCCGCGCATTTTTGAACATGTTGAAATGTTTAGACATATCTATTCTTTCAATTTGTAACAAGTCACTATGGAGTCCGAGCTCCTGGAAACGGAACCCGAAACTGACACACCCGAGAAAGGTTCGAAGTGGTAGTGATCACGTATATAGCATTCATATTAAAGACATGAGTGATCAACCCATTCGGTTGAAGAACAAACAGATCGTTTTTACATTTAATGCAGGACAATGTATGAAAACTGCGCATATTGAACATTGTTCTTTTTATTTGATGTCATGTGAATGAGAGATGCGTCAAACATCAAGTCACTACTGTGGTCGTTACAGTCAAACATTGGTATTTAAAGTCGATATCGACAAGAAGATCGATTAATCAGATTACATCAGTACTGTACAACGTAAGTAAAGCTATACTCAACTATAAGAATAGAATGAGTAACGTAGAAATACCATATTCGATAGTATCTTCAAGCATCTATTTATACAAACAGCATAACTTGACTCAGCATGTTTAACTTACGCTTGAATCATTATTATAAACGTTACATCAACTCAAATAGAATGTGA